GCCTTATGGAAGAGTATTTTTTTTTTCTGAATAGAGCCACTCAAAAGGATTTTATTTATTTCATCTATTTTTTATATTTACATTATTATATTATTATGATATTATTTAGATTATATTAAATAAATTATTATATTTATTAATTATTATGCCACCCAATTCAATCCCTGTCAAACCAACGAACCTTGAACCATTCATTCATCCGGTTGTTCAGTCTGATTTTCAAAAACTTACTTCTAAGTATTTCATTATTAAATATTTAATCAACATAATATAAGCACGTGATTGACTTATCTCAATTGCTATCTTTATATATTTTTTTTCTCTTATAAATTCAATTATTTTTTCAAATGTTTCAATCAACACATGATTATAACTCATAAAAAAATTATTATTAATACTTTCTAATTTAAAATTAAACTAATTATAAATAAAATTTCAAATAAACATTAATATTTATTGTCCTAAACTTTCTTATTTCTTCAATACAAATAATCTCTTGCACCGATTTCTGATTTTTTTAAATAAGACCATATATTGGCATTTAATAACTTTTTAATTAATTAATTATTCTTAGAAAACATTATAAAATTCTAAGCTTATTTCATTGTTGCTTAGTTCGGCCGCGTGTTGGTGACTCCTGCACGCGAGTTTGCATGGGACTTCATACCTGCACCTAGTGTGTCTCCTGCGTGTCTCCTGAGCAAGAGTATCTTCACACACGCATGCTGACGTACTTCCTTCGGATTTAACTCAGTGTCAACAATGCTAAATTGTCTTCCTTGCACGAAACATTCACGAGTCACTAGCCCCTTCTCTATCTCACTCTCATCGCTCTCGCCGGCCCTACTCGCTTTTGGTTTGAATTGAAATGTTTGTCTGCTAATGACGAACCCATCAAACCATTAATCGACCCAGTCATTATGAAATTCCTCTATTAGTAGCATTATTATTAGTCATTACAATATAGGACCGACCAACAATAGATATGAGGCATGCCATGATTGATTATTCATGTTTCATCTTGACTCGAAGAAGCTCTAAAAAGCTCTGAAAGACTTGGTATTTTGTTTTTTGTGGTTTTGGTTGGTAGATTTACTTTCGATTGGTGAGTGTTCCATTGAAAGTCCATGTCCCGGGCCGGGCTTACAGTCTCGGTGCATTGGCTTTCAAAAAGTTTTGATTACAGAACTTATTGAACCCTGACCAAATATTATGGGAAATCTTGGTGGAACAAATCTAAACTATCTTAAGAAAAACACTTCTCATTCGTACCACAAAGGCTGACATGGAAGGAGTTCACTTTTTTGAGTGATCAATGACATTAATGGCAAGGACCGTATATATTTGTATTGCATATCACAAATGATGCATTGGATCATTTAACATGTGCATATTTTCAATCATCAGGTGTCATTTTAATCATATAATATAACAGGTATAGCTTCATGTAGAATCTTGTGCAGGACATGCAGAGTTTCACTTGCATATCGCAGATGAGAAAAAAGTCTATTCATCTTCATGTCATTTAAATCTTGCCATCATACAAGAGTAAGATTCTTGCATTTTACATTAAAGAAAATGTTAAGTATTTACTTTCCAAATCTGTCTTGAATCTCTTCATTTCTCCCTTCTAACTATTTCTCAAGCCTGTTCATTCAAATATCAATCTGCTGCAATTGATCATATCCTCCGTCTCGACATGGGTTCCCAATAAATCATTTGAGCGCACATGAAACTTCAACTGCTTTCAAAAAGAGTTCGCGGATTGAGTGCTCGAATCCAACTTCTTGGGATGGTTCAGTTTACTTTTAACCAAATACGCAATGCATTGAAGCACATGTGTTTGTACTGTTAGCAGATAAGATCAAATCATCATAGTATAATCGAATACTGATCATCAAGTCAATTTATTTCCTGCAACCCTGAAAGGCTTTTCCTCTGTGCATTCGTGCGTAGAAGTTTGTAATGAAAGCCAAAAAATACATGTACAGGAACCTGGCGTGTAAACACAAGCATTGTCGATCATGGAGCAAGTCTAGACAAACATAAAATAAAGTTTTGTAAGCCCATTTACTTAGCGAGCCAAACACTTTATTTAGTTCAAGCGTTTTATTCGGCCGTGTTTGACTCGATTGTAGTATATATGAGTGTATTGAATATCATATTTGATGCATCTACACCCCTCCACCAGTTCTAATAATATAGTTTCATGAATAAGAGGAAGAGTGCCTGCCTCATAATAATGCTAATTCTTTGTTTATTATAATTGATTTTTTTGTGCAGCAAGAAACCAGGTACGAAGCTGAACCTCGTATTGAATATCATATTTGATGCATCTACACCCCTCCATAAGTTCTAATGATATTGTTCATGGATAAGAGGAAGAGTGCCTGCCTCATAATAATAAGCTAATTCTTTGTTTTACTATCATTAATTTTGTTGTGCAGCAAGAAACAACCAGGTACGAAGCTGAACCTCGCAGTTCATATTTAGAGGGTGCTAGAGATATTGCCGTTTTGGAAGCAATGCTCGAATCAAGCAGCCAGAATGGAGCAAATATTACTGTGAAGAGTCTCTGATGGATTGAAGAAACAGAGGATATTATAATAGTTACTCATTTAACGTACGTAAAAATTGCCGCCGTGGGGAGACTTTGTCATAAATCAGGCTCTGCAAAAAATTTGATTGCTGCTTTTACTGATCCTTCTACAATAAAATTTGCTGCTTAAATCACATAGACTACCTACTTTAAGATCCACCATAATTCTCAATGGTGGAAGGGGGCTGAGAACATGTAAATTCCACTCATTAGAGCTGGCTACCACACCATGTTTATTTTGTCTAGTATTTTTTTTTTCAACAATATTTAATGAAGATATACATACATATCTTACAGCTATTTTTTTTACTTTCAATTTATAGCACATCTATTTCATATAAAAAATATCAATATTTTACCCTTCAAATATATATATACATATATATATATATATCTTATACAAAAGTAAAATACACTTCATGCATAAATAAGGCAATTTGCATGTAAATATTAGAATTTTGACGTTAGACATGTAAATACATACGAATTAAGTAATATATAAATAAATCTTCTACAAAGTATTAGTTGTGTAAGAAATAAAACTAAAATTTAGGTGTTAAATATGTTAATACACGGCTGAGTTCAACGCACGTAAATCTTTAAATAAAACAAATCTTCTATCATGACTAGAAAACCTATACGACAGAACAAAATTTTAGTTCACGACAGATTTGAAAGCAAATAACTGATGCACCTACAAGCGTCATTTCATAAATAAATGACATACATTATGCATATTAAATTCAAAAAAGTAAAAAAAAAAAATCCTAAAATAGGTCTACTCTAAAAAAGCATAATTTATGATTAACTTAAATAGAGTAAAACCTTTGAAAATTATCAAAAGGCCTAATGTTAATGCTAAAGCAAGTGACTGCATCAAATTAAAGGTATGTCTGGAGCAACTTATTTGGTGCGGTGACGTTTTACAAACGCTGAAAATAATATGTGACAGCTTTTTAGCTGCCCACCTTTCTGGCAGCGGTCTGAGTTTTTAAAAAAAAAATAAAAATTTCTAATAGTCATCGAACCTAACTTATCAACAAATTATTTTTAATCAATTCATCAGCAAATTATTCAATAAGCTGTAGCTGCCCCAAACAGATCATAAAAGTCCTCCAATAGAATTTTTTACTTCAAGAGATATCATTTATATAAAGTCTTCTAGATCATTATAGAATTTATCTATAGAACCTATATCTAAATCTACTTTAGAAGCATAAACACTTATAATATTAAAAATTTTAATATCAATAATAATCTTAAGGGCTATAATTTTATCTCCAATTCTATTAATTTTTACAACATTATCTTTCAAACTCGTATCTATAATTACACCTACACCATTTCTAGTGCG